TTCTAGAAAGTGGTGCTGTGGTTCAAAGTGGTAGAGCACTAGTCTTGAGTGAAAGAGCTCAGGAACAGAACCCAGGCCCTGAGATCAAGCCCCACGACCAATAACAACAACATAAAAGGCTTAGTAGAAACTATGGTTCTATGGGCTTGAGTATTTACTAGACATTTTCTTAGGAAGAAAGAGAGCCTATCAGCTCAAGGAAGACAACTGGTAGTATTTATTGCCAATGAGAAAACTAAAATAGTTGAAATTGGTATCTGCCACCATGAACTTTGGAGCATCTCACTATTTAAAAGTCTAATCTTTGATGAAGTTAGAGCTGATCCTAATGAAAGAGATTTTTTTCCATATCATATAAAGAAAGTGTCAAAGTTTAGAGGACTTGCATAGCTTAGTGAGCCAATATTTTTCCACATGATTCATATATGATAATGTAAAATGACCAAAACACTCACTTGAAGTTCAAAACATACCAGTGGATTTTAATGTGACATAGCATGAAATGCTCATTCATATGGTTTCATATTCCACATTGCAACCATTTGTTCAGTATAATCTCCCCCTCCCATCTCCCTTCTTTTCTCTGTCTGCTCATCCCTCCCCACCCCCCATATACACATCCTCTCTGACTCTCCTTCACTGTCTTTCTCTGTGGGTGGTGGGACAGGATTTTCTGTGAATTTTTTGTGCAAAACAACACATCACATCAATCTGAAAGGACAAAGATGACATGATAATAATCCACCTATCTTACTTTAAGCCACACATTGAAGAGATTTGTGAAAATATAAATGAATCCCACATCCATTGATTGGTTTATACTTTATCTCCTTTTTGACAAATAATTTTAACAAGATTCACTATTTTATTTTCGTATATGCATATGAAGTACTTCAATGACATTTACCATCCTCTTTTTTCCTCTCTGTTAGCACTGTTGCCTAGTCCCGGAAAGTCCCCCCATTTTCTACTTTTTTTTTGTCATTCTTTTCATTAGGGTCTAGATTCTACATATGAGAGAGAGAAAGCATGTGATATTTGTCTTTCTCAGTGTGCTGTATTGAAGAATCTCTAGAGTAGCTGCACTAATTTACATTCCCACCAACAATATATGAGGATTCACACCTTTTCTATCCCCCCCTTATCTTCACTAACATTTGTTGTAGCCTGTTTTCTTGATTTTCATTCTGACTGTTGTATATACCTAATGCTTTAACTAAAAATATGACATGGTGAAGTCCTTGTTTGGTCTTGTCTACAGTACTAAATTCAGCCTGTACTTACATGACCATCTCTTTCTCAAGATTGGAGGCATTTTCTGCTATTATTTTACTGAATAGGTTTCTATGTTGTTAGCCTTCACATCTTATTTTTTCTTTTTTGATGCCCATGATTTGTATGTTTGGACTTTTAATGGTATTCCAGTAGTCTTACGGGTTACTTCCATTTGTAGTTCAGGTCTCTTTTCTTTATTTGCATCTGTTTCATCTGCAAACACTGATCTTCTTTCTTTAATTTAATCCCATCTACTAGAGTCAATTTCAACCGCATTTCTTACATGAGTTATTGAGCCTTTCATTTCCAGAATTTAAATTTGATTTGTCCTGAGTTTCTCTAGCTTCACAGAGCTGCTCTTTCATGTCTTGCATTGTCTACTTCATTTCATTCAGCTCATGATTTGAATTTTCTTCGTATTTATTCAGGTGTTTATCCATGTCCTTTTTCGTTTCATTGATTATTTTATTATTTCTCGGAGATGTCATCCACTTTACTATCATTAGTGTTTGTTACTATGCAGCTTTTTTTTTGTTTTGAAGGAGTCACGTTGCCTTGTTTTTTTCATATGTCTTGTGTTTCTGCACTGAGTCTTACACATGTCAGGTCAAATCATTGATTGAAAGGTTTCATCACCTATAGTCTTTCTGTTGAAATATTCTCCATGTTTAGGCAAGGCAATGTAGTGGCTGTGTTAAGGTGCTGTTTTCAACAAGGGACTTAGGGTATGGCTTAGACTCCATCCAGTAGTTCACTACATGTGAGGGGAAGGAATCTATGCAAGTCTCCTGATAGAGGGTCTGGACATGGGACCCTCACTCTCCACATGTGGCAACACCCACAAATTTTGCCATATAGTTCCCAGAGGTGGATCTCAGTGCTTTCTCACTTTTCCCAGAATTCACCTCTCTGTGGTGGAAGGAGACTAAGGAAGTCATGTGATTCAGACGTGCCTGGCAGCCAACACATGGCCAGGATGCAGTTCCAAAGGTATAGTCTCAGTTATTTCAGACCGAGTCCTACAATTCACCTCACAATATAGGGGAGGCAACTGGGAAAAAAATTATGTGATTCAAAAAGTCTGGACCACCAGGTGCCAGTGGCTCATGCCTATAATTCTAACTTCTCAAGGAAGGTGAGATCTGAGGATTGTGGTTCAAAGCTACCCCAGGCAGGAAAATCCGTGAGACTCATCTCCACTCAGAAAACCAGAAGTGTCAGTGTGGCTCAAGTCTTAGAGCGCTAGCCTTGAGCTGAAGAGCTGAGGGACAGCGCTCAGGCCCAGAGTTCAAGCCCCAACACACACACACACACACACACACACACACACACACACACACACACACACACACACACAGAGTCTTGACTGTAGATCTTTAGACTAGCCTAGAAGCAAACACACATTAGGATACACTTCCCAGAGGTGGTGGGTATTAATGCTTTCTGAACCTGTCCTGAAGTTCCCCCTGCTTTTGGAGTTAGATGGCTGTGAATATCATGAGATTCAGATGGCCTGAGCTTAGCACCTCTAGCTGCTAATACACATCCAGTAGGCAGGCCTTAGAGGCCAAATGCTATAATAGCCACAGACGTGGTGTTTTGTTTCGGTCGCAACTCTCAGACAATAGAACTTGCTCTTTGCCAAGAAGAGTGGGGCTTAGAGTCCTGGTGCCCTTCATTTCCAGATCTCCCAGCTGTTTCAACTTCTCTGTGGGACCATGTCTGACTTTCTTTGCCTCTATAACAATCTATATTGGCTGCCTCCCAACCAAACACTGTGGCAGGGCATCCCCAAACTCCCTAAGCCATGATTATTCTTTGTTTTCATACCCCCAGAGTAACTCAAACAATAGGCCCTCTCTCAAGGCTGTGCTTTGTTGTAGCTTTTGGTAGTAATAGGAGTGACAGAAGGGTCTTTCTTCACCAAGACTAGCCTTCCATATGTAGCTATCAGTGTCTCACCAAATCCCAGACCAAGGCTAAGGATTGTGGGATGTATGGGGTTATGATGGAGCTAGAATCCACAAGACTGTGGATTCACAATGGCCTTCTGTCTAACTTTGTAGATTGCTTCTTCACTTTCCTCTCCAATCCAGGGATGGATCTTGGAAATGTTTGCTGCTTTTTTCTGTTGCTTCTGTTACTTCATGCCTTACTTCTATCATTTTACCTCATTCATGATTCCCAGCCCTCTTTCTCTTTTTCTCTCTTCAGAATAAAGTCTCTCATATATTATTACTTGACTCTTCTCATTCATGGAGACAAAAACAGTGCATGCTTTGATCTGCCATCTTGCTTCTCCAGCACCGTTAAGATTGTTACCAAGGAAGCTGGGTGATGATGGCGTATGTCTATAATCCTAGATGCACGAGAGGCTGAGATCTTAGGACCACAGTTCAAACCCAGCTTCACAGGAAAATTTGTGAGACTCTTATCTTCCATTAAACACCAAAAAGCCAGAAGTAGAGCCATGACTTAAGTAGTAGAGTGCTAACCTTGAGCAAAAAAGCTCAGGGACAGTGCCCAGGCCCTGAGTTCAAGCCTCAGGACTGTCACAAAATAATAATAATAATAATAATGATGATGATAATAAAGGATGAGACAGAGAAGTAAAAATGGGTGAGGGGGCAAAAACTAGAACAAGACTAGAGAATATAAAATTGAAGACTTTAGAGATGGTGAAGAAAAGTACAGTTGTGTGAGAGCTGTCTCCAGACACTTTCCATGCTGCAAGCTTAGGTCTCTGATTCAAACAGACATAACGGGGAGGGAGCCCCATAAAACTCAGCCATGTGACCAGAAAACCAGGCACTAAAGATCAAAACAAATTTATCTCTTCCTAAGTATATTATCTATAGTAAATCATTCATTATTTTTTTTTTTTTGGTTGGTCGTGGGCCTTGAACTCTGGGCTTGGGTGCTATCCCTGTGCTCTTCAGCTCAAGTCGAGTGCTTTACCCCTTGAACCACAGCACCACTTCCTGTTGTCTAGTGTTTTATTGGAGGTAAGAGTCTCGCGGACTTTCGTGCCTGGGCTGGCTTTGAACCGAGATCCTCAGATCTCAGCCTCCTGAGTTGCTAGGATTACAGATGTGAGCTACAGGCGCCTGGCTAGCATTAATCTTTAGCACCCATTTTATATGAGTACAGCTAGTCTTTTCATCCCATGTGAAGTATTTGTGTTTCAATGTAGCAAATGTAAATATGGTTCTAAGGGACTTTCATCAAGATCTTTTCTGAATTTGATGGCCCCTTAACCTATAACATGCTTTGCTAATCATGTTTTAAGTTCCCATCCACATGTTCTCCTACCATAGAAACCTCCAGAAACATAGATAGCATGGCATGGGAAAGGCTAGTGCAGTGTATACTATGACTTCTTGTGGTGTAAGGGGAGAGAAGGAATTCAGTCATTTCAAATACTATGGGAAAATCCAGAAGTGGGAAACTCTAAAAAAGAAAACAACATAACCCATGAACACTTACTTAAGTTTAGAAATGACTTTTGGAGATGGTGTCTTACTGTGTTTCCCAAGCTGCTCTGTCATTTCTGGATTAAAGCAATCTTCCTGCCTCAGTCTCTCTCATAGCCAGGACTACAGACATGCGCTACTGTACCCAATGGAAACGTAAAAAATCAGTTCAACCTTTTAGTGACTCTTATTAGTACTAGACCCACCTGAAAAAATAGGAATACCTTTGCATTTCTGATTATTTTCTTTCAGCTCCTGAGAACCATGTCTGTGCCCAAAGGTAGAGTTGTGGATAAAAACCTGGATGACGAAGGGCTTGAAAGTGGAGACTGCGGTGATGATGAAGATGAGTGTATTGGAGCCTCTGGTGATGGAATGATGAAAGTGAAGAATCAGCTCCGCTTCCTTGCAGGTAATTCAAAGCTGCCCTTAAAATGGCCTTGTGCAGAAATTAAAACTCAATTGCATCTGCTCTCTGTATCTCTCCTAAAAATCTCCACAACAGGCAACACCATTAACCCTTCAAGGAAAGACTATACTCTCAAAAAGTGAAGATTTCAGATACTCTTTTTTCATATATTGCACTGGGTAGAAGCATAACTTCCTGCTTTTCATTGTCTAAAATAATGAAATGACCTCATCAACTGGCTCAGTCTCTCATTGGAGAGTGTCTTGAGTCTTCTCAGTTATAAAAAGAAATGTAACCTTGGGTGTCTTATGAGAACCAAAGATGGAACCGACAACTTTCAATGGAAGAGATGTTTGCTGACCACTCTCTTCTTTGTGTATCACTCCTGTTTTATATTCTCAAAAGCACTTTGACATAGATAGAGCAGAGCTACATTTTTAAAAAATATGCAAACATAAAAAGGGTAATACCAGGCGCCAGTGGTTCATGCCTGTAATCCTAGCTACTCAGGAGGCTGAGATCTGAGGATCAAAGTTCGAAGCTAAGTCTGTGCAGGCAAATCCATGAAACTCTTATCTCCAATTAGTCACCAAAAAAAAAATCAGAAGTGGAGCTGTGACTCAAGTGGTAGCATGTTAGCCTTGAGCAAGAAAGCTCATGGACAGCACCAAGGCCCCGAGTTCAAGCCCAAGGACAATCATCAAAAAGATAAATTAAATTAAATTTAACAAAAAAAAAAAAAAAAAAAAACAGAAAAACGATAGATGCTGAGGTTAAGAATGCAAAACAACAACAAAAATTCCCCCAGATTTCTGTTCCACCTCACCTTCATATAGGTAAGTATTCTTCTGTTGTAGGTGTAAGAAAACTGGGGCATAGGGAAGAAATGAGATTTCTCTAAATAGGGGAATTGGAACTCTAGCCTAGGACCTGGAACTTTTAGTACCATGCACTTTCCTTTGTGGTACACAGATTTCTACCTGAAGCCCTGTTCACTATTGCCTCTGAGCTGCCACATGCTCCTGTTTTTCTTGCGGTTTCTTTCCTACTTCATCTTTCTGATCCTAGCCTGAAAATGGTTGTCATCTACATATCCACATCTAAGTGGTCTGTATTTTCTTTCTTCTCCTAAGAGAACACACACACACACACACACACACACACACACACACACACACACACACACACACACACACACCTTACCTACTTTCCCTCTTTTACCTAATTTCTAATCATTTTAACTCCTTTTTTCTAATGGGTAAAAACAATGGATACAAATCTTCCCTCTTAACTAACTTTTAGGTGTATAATACAATATTGTTCATTCATTTCACGTTGTTTAGCTGCAGCTCTCTAGAGATATGTTTTTTACCTTGCATGGCTAAAATTCTATGCCCATTGAAAACCATATCCTTATTTTCTTTTCCTGAGGCCCTAGGAACTATATAATCTTACTTCTAGTTCAATACAAGTTTCATTGCTTTAGAGACCTTATAAAATAGAGTCATACACTATTTGTGCTTCAATGATTGGCTTATTTCACTTAGTTTAAAGTCCTCCAATTTCCTCCTTGTTTAACATAGAGCAGTATTTCATTCCTTTTTAAAGCTGAATAATATTCCGTTGTATGTATTACTACAGCTCAGTTTCCTTATCTGTTCACCCATCAGTGAGTGTTTACATAATTTCTACTTCTTGTCTATTGCGGATAATGCTCCTATAAACAGTCTTTATTATAGCGCTGTGGAGATAAGTCAGGTAATCATTACCACCAGTCTCAACTGTTTTCCTGTCTCACACCTCCACCTGCTTATGAATCATTTCTGTCTGGCTTTCTTATCGCCACTCCAAACTTGATGTGTCACAGGCCCAATTTATCAACCAACCATCTCAAACTGGTTTGTTCTTTGTCTCCTTGTGTTTTCTAATGCCACTATAGTCAGTCACTGGGTCCTAAAACTCAAGGAAGAAGGCTTGATCTTCATACATAGCTGGAATGCAAATCCCTGTTGATTCCTTCTTTTTGTCATTTTTCTGCTTCTATCACTGCCTCCTGTCATTTTTCCCTCCTCCCACCCTCCTGCATAGGCTATTGAAACCAAATCCTGAGTGTTTTCTGGGCGTCTAGACTAAGGCCAGAAGTATTGAGAGCCTTAAGCTAGCAGATTAGAGAACAAAGAATCAGAGACCCAAGCAGAAGATTCCATCAATTCATCATGCACAAATGCCAGGTTAATCTTTCTAAAGCATCTCATACCTGGCTCAGCTGCCTTCATCCTTTCCTCATTGCCTTGAGGGTAAAGCTCAGAATTCTGACACAGCCTTCTAGTCTAGCCTAAATTACCCTTCCTGGTTTTATTTCCTACCATTGGTCCCATAGGAACCCCTTGTTACTTTGTTAAGAAACAGCCAGGGGGCTGGGAAGGAGGCTCAGTGGTAGAGCGCTTGCCTTGCATGCATGAGGCCCTGGGTTTGATTCCTCAGCATCACATAAGCAAAAAGAAAAAAGCCAGAAGTGGTGCTGTGGCTCAAGTGGTAGAGCGCTAGCCTTGAGCTGAAGAGCTGAAGGACAGCGCCCAGGCCCAGAGTTCAGGCCCCACGACCGGACCCCCCCCCAAAAAAGAAAAGAAACAGCCATGTTTGTACCCCAGGATCTTCATAAACACACAGTTCTGGTTTCTGTCTTCATGCCTTGCTCATGTTTATTTCCATACAGATAAACATCTTTTCTTCTTAAAGCATACCTGCCCATCAAAGTGCAATTCAAATATGATGCACTGAAAAGAAAACAGGTTTTTGGATTAGAGCAAACCTGTAATTGAATTTGATTTTTTTGTTTCAATGTTTTCATTTGGCCTCACGCCTGCTAGGGTAGTGCTCTACTGATCACTCTCTCTCCAGCCCCTGACTTCACTTCTTTTGAGCTAGCAGGACCTGGGGCAAGTGTCTTACCTTCCCCTCTTAAGTCTCCATTCCCTCATCCATCAAATGAGGTCATTATCCCAACTTCACAGGTAGCCTGAATGAGTATTATAGCAAGGGGGCAAGTTTATAAACCATCTAGCCAAGTTTCTAACATATACCAGCACATAATAATTTTAATTGTGGTCTTAAAAAATCCTCTGCATTACTAAAACAAATTCTGCCAATCGTTAAAACAAAAAAAGTTTTGCAGTAGTTCTGCAGCTCCATAAGGCATAAAGTGATCTCCCAGATCCTGGCATCCTATATGAAGAATATTGAATACACATCAAAAGTAAAAACAAGGGACCTAATCTGAACATCTGGCATCCAAAATCCTATGAAATCAAGAACTGTTTTAAAGTGCTTAGATGACGTTCAAAAATTGGGAGTACTATTTCAGATTTTAGGATTTTTGGATTTGAGATGCTCACGCAGGAAAGTCTATACAAATATTCCATAATCTGAAAAAGTCTCCAACCTGAAGCATTTTTTAATACAAGATACTCAGCCTATACCTAGAAAAGATGAAAGTTGCCCAGATGATTCACCAAAACTTTTAGCTACTCCCCAGCAACTTATCTGAAATATATCATTGCCCATACTTCTCCAGAAAAGTCTCTACTTCTGCCTACTCATTATTTTCTGCTGTGAGCTGTATCCTTATCCATTTGAAAATAATCCCATAATTACATTGGGACTTAAGTTTTTTAAATAGTGTTGGGAAAGGGACTTTGTCAAGGGCCTTTTCAAAATGTAAGTCCATCTCTTCCTTGATTTCCCTTTAGCCACATACACATTGAACCTCTCAAAGAATTCTAGTCAGCTTGTTAGACGTGATAAAACCTAAGTGCTTTGAAAACCTTACTGTAAAACACTACACAAAAGGTGGTTGATTTATTTATAGGATAAATGATGCATGGCCTCCAGTTCACATGCGGAACCAGATCAGTTATCTTGCCAACCAAAAATTATTTGGGACTCCTTAAAATGTTTCATGAGCCGGGCACTGGTGGCTCACACCTGTAATCCTTGCTACTCAAGAAGCTGACGTTCAAAGCCAGCCTGGGCAGGAAAGTTCATGGCACTCTTAATTCCAATTAACCACCAGAAAATTGGAAGTGGCTTTGTGGCTTAAAGTGGTAGAGCACTAGCCTTGAGCTGAAAAGCTCAGGGACAGCACCCAAAAACCCAAGCCCTACAACAGACAAAAAACAAAAAAAAAAGCTTCTTCATGGAGAAGAGACTCACTACCAATCTTCTAGATTCATGGTGTAATAGCTATTTGGGATGATAGCCTATATACTTTGGTCAGCTGTTACATAATTTTACCTAAAATCTAGGTACATGCCATCTAGTCCTGGTGATTCATCAGCATCTATTTATTTACTCAACATAACTTGGAACATTGTGTGTATTTGCCATTACATTTAGGACTACAAATTGTCTGCTCCAAAAAACAATGCAGAGCACGGCTCAGATTATGTAGTTTTTCTTGTATCTCCCTTCAGTCTCTGAACAGGCCTTTTGTACCATTATTAGCAAGTGATCTTAGTTATTGGCTGACTTCCCTGACCCACTTTCTATCTCCTTTTGATAAGCTAAACAAAGTACAGGACACTCAGGGTCTATTCTTGCATTTGCTTTGACTTCCTATTGGTCCCAAGGAACTTTTTTGTTTTGTTTTGTTTTGTTGGTTCTAGGGCTTGAATTTATGGCCTGGTGCTGTCCCTGAGCTTTAGCTCAAAGTGTCCAGTCCTAAGAAACTTTTTTATTGTTAAAATACTGTACAGAGTGGTTACAATTACATGGGCAAGATAATGAATACATTTCTTATCAAGCATTGTAGCCTCCTCCTTTGTTTCCCCTTCCCTAAGAAACTTTTTAGAAGCCATTTTCTCCATCTATGAAATAACTCCTGCAAGGCCATTTTACTGCCAGCAGTCTGTGATTATGCCCATTTCTTTGCTTTGGTACCTGGAAAGGTACTTATCAGCCTCTGAAGGATATCTTCTTTTACATTATCTTCAAATCTTACAAGT